TTCCTGATTCATTCTACCGGTCATAACTCATTCATTTTTGGGATTAATTAAAAGTTTTTTTAACCATCATGTTCAGCACACTTTTCTCTATCCGAAAATGTAAAAAGTTATCTACTTTCTTAAGAAACAACCTCACAATAATCAAAAGTAGTCAATTTTTCAAAAGTCCGTTCGAATTAGGGGATTTTACTCTAAATGAACATCAATGAAAATAGAATTTGTTCTCATATTTGAATTTAAGAAAAATGTCGTCATATATACATGCTGTGAGCTTCGTTTGTTTCTTTGTTAGGTACACAGCATTCATATTCAACCGACTTTCTTCCTAGACGTGATGTAAGAAAAGAAGAAAATCTGTTTTCATTGAATATCTGTCGATTTTATCGATAAGGAAGATATCGTTTAGCGCGCTGATGAGAAATTTTATAACATGTTGATAATAAGCCGTTACAAATTGATAAACAGTTATGTATAATTAATTACATGCTAAATTCATACAAGTTGTGTCTAAAATGTTGTCACTGCGTCATACACTTTTATTTTGGAAAACATAACAAATGACGAAATTTTACATTTTCGTCGAAATATTCATTCATCTTATGCCTAAGAAAGATTACTATCCAGTATGACCTTGCTCAATATCCTAACAAAGTAAATAGGCTCACATAAAGAGTGTGTCTTTCAAGTTTTTATCCTAAGGAGAAGAAAACATGCACAATGATTTATGTCAAATTCTTTATATAAATCTCGAGGTGGATGATAGTTCGTTATTGTGTCAGAACATCGAGTAACCAGGTATTATCGTTCCAACTGTAGTGCTCTTTGACTTTAAAAAGAGCGATACCGATTTTAATTTATCCTCTTTGATCATACTATTCTTAATTCTTGTTCTTTCTTGCTATATGAGCACAGAACATCCATAGAAAACATTTTTTCTATTCATCGAATACGGTACGAAAAAGATCAAATTATCGAATGTGCGGTAGTTGTAAGTTATTGCGTATTCTGTCAACTTCGTTAATTAAAACCAAAGTAATTAGAGAGGACTCTTTTTGACGTTTTGCACTAATCTTTGTTTAAGTTTTATTTTAATTCCTTGTTTAAGATTAAGTGCTATTAATATCACAGATTAAAGGTGGTAAAACTGTACGTTTCACTTTTCAATTTCAGTCGTTTCACTGGAAAATGACAAAGCTCAACTTCGGCTTCTCTGAGTACGATGTTCAGAAAGGTGATCAAGAAAGTTCTGTTAGTCACACCAAATTCGTGAAGCTTTTAAAATTAAACTATCCATATATTTTACTATTCATCCGTGATATCTTTAAAACTGAAAGGGACTCTTTTCCAAAAAATACATCAATATATAGTACAACTTGGGTGCTTCAGATTAGTATAAAAAGGGGAAAAGGATTTTCTCTAATTACTTTGGTTTTAATTCGCGAAGTGAGCGGGATATAGAATAAAATCATAGCCAGCACTACTTTTGAACATAGAATAACGAACGTGTCAATAAAAAATTCCGTCTTTCCTCATTTTGTTCTTTAAAGAGAAATAACGTTCTATATACATATATAGGAGGCATGCTGTACTACACAACCAATTATACTGATTCTGAATATACAAAAATTTCAAGATACGCTTTTCTAAAAATAAACGAAATTTTCATTTCATCTTATTTTCATCTTTATTTCTACTTTATTTCATTTCCTGCATAAAATTACAGAGAGAGAGAGACAGCTAATTTCAGCGTAAAACCGGTTTTTTGGTTCTTTTTCAAGAACTAGACGTTCCACCAGAAAACAAACTGCGAATTCGGAATCTACATGCAAAAACGAATCAGAATATGTATGCTGTTTTTTCCCCAAACCGCCCCCAAGAAAATCAGCCTTATTTGCTATGCTGTTTAACGATCACAATGTTCGAGAGAGAGTAAAGAACTTTTTTCAATTGTTTTGCATGTTAAATTTTGCCTCAAATCAATATAACAACATAGAAACATGAAGCAAAATAATATTTGATGTTTAAAACAGAATTTTTTAACTATGGATGAACACTAAAAATTTGTTTTAACGACAAAAATGATTATGCATGCGTGTCTAGACGATTTTTCTTTGCAAAAACAAATCAGCCATTCAAATTTATTTTATATTGTTCGTTGAATAATTACATGACCTGGCGAACATAAATATACACAATGATCGTTCGCACATATGTCAAGGTCAATATATATATATTGAAAAAAATGTACAGAAAATACAGAATAGATTGAATAAAATACGAATGAAAAAGATTACATTTGAATCATTACCTAATGAACTTTTACTTATGATATTTTCTTATTTATCTTTATTTGATGTTTGTCAATCCTTTCTTGATTTAAAAAATACTCGTCTCGAACGTCTTCTTACTTCTATATATTACTCATTGGACGTTAGTTCAATACACTATAATCAATTACGACAATTTCTCAGTGATAGTAGTAACGCTCATATAAATCGTTTGACTACTTTGATAGATACTGTTGTATTTCGTGATTCACCTGCTTGTTCGATGTTACTCAATCATTGGAGGAAAACATTCATTGATACCGAACTATTAAACACATGGTTACCATCGATCAAGCAGCTTGTTATATTGAACGCAGATTATTATCAATATCAACTTGTTCAACCGTTATTAAAACCTTTGGTTTCTGTTAACAATACATTACAACATTTGCATCTGGTATTTGAAAGACCTACGTATTGGTATCCTTCAATACTTTCTGAACTCATTCATCACCATATATCGGTTCATACTATGATATTAGAAGTTGAAAAAGGTATGTGATTATATATGTATTCTACACAATGAAAATTCGAAAGACGACTGACTAAGTATTGTAGTTATAATAATAAAGTGTGATTTTCGAAAATATTCTTTGATAATTTGAATTTTATCAAAGACTCTTATTTTATTGATAGATTTCAAATAATCCTTTAACTTAGATTGTATTTATATTTTAAGATGTTTGAAATTAAAAACGTTATCACGAAAGGAATATTTAAAATAACAACTTCATCAATATAGAATAAATTGTATATCAGTTATAATTCTATTCAAAAATGTTGTTTATTAACAGGTTATGTTTTATTTCTAAAATCTACGATATTTCAGTTCGACAGAATTGAATCAAGAGTTTTTGCTCCTGTATAATTTTAAATCTAATGTATCGTAAATTTGATTCTAAATGACAAAATTCATTTTAACTCTGTCTTCTACTATAGGGACGATTTTATAAAAATTTCATTTTCTTTAATCATGAAAGCTTTAAAAACAGTTTATATCAACTTAAGGCCTATCTATTGTAGACTTTAAATCAACAGTTTATATTTAATCTTTATTATAAAAATAACTTTGATTTTTGTTGAATATATGACGTTATGATAGACACTACAATTCATAAGAAAGGTTTGGTTCAAACGTTTTCTGTGTATACTAGAGATCTCAAGATGGATGTTATCGAGTCAATTATATCCTTCGAAATTGTCAGACTTAGCCATGTGCAAGAAAGAGTTGATTTGTAATGATATTTTGTAAATTTATACTTTTGTATATATAGTTGTAGATAGTCGGAAGCGAGTTTTCATAAAACCGATAATGTTCTATTCCAGTAATGAATTAGTAGATGAGAAACTATTTCATGAATATAACTGATCATTCTTTGTATTTATGATACTTTGTTTTTTATTTATCAGATATAAAAATGAATAGAACTTTTCGGATTGGGAATATAACATTTAATTGATACAACTTTTCTACTTTACTATTATTATCATTATACATTGATTTTATCTATAGGTCATAAATTCTATCCGAATGATCGGATGAAAGATTTACATAAGATGGAACCATTGTATTGGCCAAATACAAATCAACTAACATTAAGTATTCAACATTCCAGCGAACTTATTCTCCTATTGAAACGTGGTGCTCTACCTGCAATTGAACATTTAAATATTACTAATGAGGAGATACGTACTGCTTTGCCATTGCGTCAACATATATCAGCATCAAATATTCATCTTTGCGAATATAATCTGCGTGAGATAGCTGATGGTACTCGCTTGCGAACTTTACTTTTACGTTATATAACTCTCAGCGATATTATTATATTGATTGGCTCATTAACCATGCCTTTGCTTGAAAAATTAATACTTATTGATTTGTATGATCATAGTAAGTTATCATTTGATATTTTTCTTCGCTTTTTCAACTATAGAATTATTCCGATTGATTTCGTATGATAGATTGAATCATAAAATCAACTTTAGAGACAAGATAGTTGTGAGATATATGAAAAAAAACACATTTTCCAAATAATCTACTTCATGCTCTTCTTTATTTGTCATATCTCGATAGATTCGAATGTTTTTATTTTGAAATATTTGTATTTCTTACATGCATATATTCATTTTACTATTAATTCTGTTTTGTTGTTTCTTGCAGCATTAGATCATGTTGATAAGTTTCAGAAACTTTGTGGTTCTACTCATCTACCTTCTTTGAAAAAGCTTCATTTTTCATTGTGTTTTCCTCAAGAAATGAAACAAGCATGGCAAATGAGGTCATTCAATTATAACGGCAAATGGCCTTTTGACAATCTTGTCTGTTATATAGATGAGAGTTGGATTTCTACTGATGGTGGAACAGATTTTATGACGAAGACACTCTTCATCGTCTATACGCGCCCAATCTACATAATATTACAACATAAGCGAACTTTACACAATCATCGTTTTGCGACACATGCAGCTGTCCCTATCATTACAACTCAACGACGGTCACTTGAAGTGACTTATGATCAAACAGATGAACCTGAACAATTAGTCAAAACTTTGCAAGTAGTTGCAAGTAGTCGAGTTGATAAATTTCAATTGATATGTCTGAATAAACAAGTAAGTTTCAAAAGAAAACGTTTGAAAAGATAAATCTCTGAGTCATTTTGTCTACTGAGGATGTCTTTTGAATAAAGACGAAACGTCTCAAACAGAAAATAGTCGATTTTCATGATGAAAAAGGTTGTGTATCTCTTATTATCTATAAAGATAAATCTCATTTGATTAATCATTTTGATTGCTAAATTGTTCGTCAATTAAATGATTAACTGGACAAATGAACTATATAATTTATTCATGTTCGTATGAATGAAAATTCCTTTTATCATGAAAAAAAAGAAGTTATATAAAAATCAGAAAACAAACATCATTGTCACTTTTTGAATTTGCTTTTGTGGTTTCTAAGAACTTTAAAAATAAATTCTACTATGAAATTGCAGGTTTAGTTCATGGTAAATTATCCAGGCTTGAACACATTATATATTTCTTGAGAGAATACACATTATGAAAAAACTTGCAAATAATTTATTTATTGAAGAGCCAAAGAATGTTTTGAAAAACTTCGAAATTCGTGTATGACATCTTTATCTGTTTTTTCAGGTAAACCCATCGATGACATCAGATTATTGTTCTAGTTGTAACTTGTTGCTTTATTCTCTACGATCTATGTCTTTTAACTTTAAATCAAAATCAATCAAAAGGTCAGATCGTGTTTCTATCGTTAAACAAATACTTAATATCATACCAAATCTGTCACATCTTGAAATCGAATGGGAAGATTTTCGTCATTGTTCACAAACATATTCAAATTTAAAACATGTACATCTCGTACTAGATCGATTTTATCCCGAACCTAAACAACATTTTAATGTTCGTCGATTAACTCAATTAGCACCTCATCTACATTCTCTCGAAACAAGCAATGCAAATATTATGTTCCATGAAAATCTTGTTGAATTTGTTTTGAAAATTATTCGTCAATTTCATCAATTAGTGCATTTAATACTAAATAAAGATAGTCTTTATCCATCCAAAGAAGAAATAAAAACTATGTTCAAAGAAAAATTAATATCCACTGGTCATAATCGATCATTTGATAGCAACAATATTAGAATAAGATTCTCTCCTCTTAATGAGCTATCTATTTGGCTTTAATGTTGTAAGATGTGCGTAATGCAAATTTCGAGTAAAAAATTTCTTTTGTTGTTTTTTTCCTTTTCTTTTCTGTGTTGAGAAAAATGGCTTTTACCGGTACCATGGCCATTTTGGATGGTATTCCACGATTTTCAAATTCAAGTAAGACTTTTAGACAAAAACAAAATACAGATTCAGAATCAGCACAAAAAACTGAATCAAATGAAGTATCTTTCAAGTTAATTTGACAACTTTCAATTTTTGACACGTATGCAAAAATTCTGATCCTTCGACAATACCTGAAAAAATGAGAGAAATTGAAAGTTGTCAAATTAACTTAAAAGATACTTCATTTGACTCAGTTTTTTGTGCTGATTCTGAATCTGTATTTTGTTTTTGTCTAAAAGTCTTATTTGAATTTAAAAATCGTGGAATACCATCCAAAATGGCTATGGTACCGGTAAAAGCCATTTTTCTCAACACAGAAAAGAAAAGGAAAACAACCGATCCGTAGCGTTGTGAGGGATGGTATGATGAATTGAATAAGATAAAATATTTGACTTCATCACTTATGTGGAAAAACTAGATTGCTTTACAAAACCGATCCATACATAGTACAATCGATGCGATTTGGAGCGCCACTACCAATAAAGTTTTGAGTCTGGAGTCGATTTAACAATTCATCTAGACTCAGTTTTTGATGCTGAATCTGACAAAAATATTCTCAGAAGCATAAGAAAAGCACGAAGCAAAATATAAGGCATATTTTGGAAAAAATGTGTTTTTGAAGAATTTGACAACCTTCGAGTTTTTCGTATTTTTCGATCAGAAAAAGGTATTTGTGTGGGGTAAAAAGTTGTTTTCGGGATCAGTAACTCACACTCTATCAAATGATGTGAAAAAACGACAAAAGAAATTTTTTACTCGAAATTTGCATTACGCGCACCTTGGTATAGAAGATAATGTGTAATAAATAAAATATTTTATACTATTAGAGATGTGGAAAAAGATTCTATATTAAAGATTATACTGATCAAGTTCGAATGTTCATTTTGAAATCATGTTCTATCTGTTCTACTATATGGGAATGAGTAACTTGACTGATACCCCAAGATACAGAATAAGAAATAATATTATTCCACGAAGTAGTATGTAATGAATTTTATACGAAATGAAAGCTCGTCAAAAATGGGATCTATCGATAACAAATAGTAATGGTTTTCTAAACTTTGTAATGTCGAACTTAAGATAAAATAGCTCTTGTTCATCATTTCTACTACCTCACATGTTTCGAAATGTATTCAAAAGATACAACGTGGAAAGGTGAATCGAATAAGTGTATTTCGAAACATGTGAGGTAGTAGAAGTGATGAACAAGAGCTAATTTCATGGAAAAATCTTTACCAAATACAAAAAATGATGCAGAAGATATCCCTACCCAAGAAAACTCGATCTGCAAAAATCTTTGCAGAATCTGTAAAGATTCTGCAATCTGCAGTTTTTCTGCAATGCAGATGTGCCAAGATTTGGCCAAAGATCTGATGCAGATCTGCAATAAAATCTTTACAGTTTCTTTGCAGTTTCTCTGCAGATTCTTTGCAGAAAAACTGCAGTTTTTTGCAGATTTTTCAGCGCGCTGTGGGACTGTGGGATATACATTTATTTCATATATTTCAAATGTTTTGACACAAATATACAAACAAAAAAAAGCTGTAAAAATCTGCAGTTTCTCTGCA